GGTACTGAAGTCAAGGAGTGCTATCTCCTTTCTCTTAGATAAGCTGCAAGGTCCTAAATATTAATATAACAAATTCAAAGATTATAGATCAGTCTCAGTTGGTGCCATCAGAAAGAGGGTGATTTTGCTCTGTAGGCTTGTTTAATAAGCTATGGGAATTTCACAAATATTATATTTTCTCAGTTAAGTGAAGCTAAATTCCGTATTAATTTTTAACCAAAAGCCTTTACAACTCTCCCTTGCTTCCTTCTTGATCACTAACCTTCATCAGATCTGTTCCTTCAGTTCTGTCAGTGTCCTTCAACTTCTTTCTCTCCCACTCTTCCTGTGTAACACATTCATTCAACTCAAATCCCCGAAAACTCAAGGAAGTAATGAGAGATCACTTTATTTTTTTGTTATTTTAACCAGTGAAAATCTTCTCGTTTGACTGGCCTTCGACGAAATTTCTATCTACAGGTTGAGGAATTGAGGGATGTAAAACTGTTATAATGACCTTTTCACACAAAGCTTCGTGTTTGAACTTTTCCGTTCCACCTTAAATGCCGCAGCAGGTGCATTCTGGCGCCTGGAAACGAGACAGTTCAAACAAGAATCTGGCGCATAGGAAGCAACTTCAGCCTCGTCCTTCTCACTGACATTAGCCTACAGTAAACAACAATATATAACAAATATTGGTGTCATTCTTTCAAAATACCGAAGAGAAATCTAAAAACAGACGATATAAAGAGCTGTCGATAGTGTTATTTATATCCCTCACTATGAGATGAGCTAAACCAGAGACTCTATGGGTTAAACTTGTTGGTTTGTCAGCGAGTTAGCTAATGTTAGCTTTAGCCTAGCCTCTTTTCTTTACCTCATTTAAACCCAAAGTTAACTGAATTTAGCTAGATAGTGTTAACAAGCAACTAAGTAAAAATACTGAATTCAGCCATACTGACCATAATTTGCCAAATTACAGAACCATATTGTATGTGGATTTTCACTTACACACTGTTTTACTCTGTATATTACAGATTTTGAATCAGGTCTAATGTTTATTTTAGTGAGATTGGCTGAACAGTACGTTAGTCAATCTCTTGTAGAACCAGAGCCGGTTTTGGTAGAACAGCAGAGGCAGCACTGCATTGGAGCAGGTCGCGCCCCCTCAGGTCGCGCCATGCTATTACAGTACATTGTGAATGAGAAAAAACTATAGATTTGTGCTAATAATGTACATTTACTTAGGAAGGGGGGGCTAAATAACATTTGTCAGCTCACGCATGGTAGTACTCATGCTTTCTTTATTGGCAGCTCGGCTGATATTTCTTTGTTTGAGAACTTCATTTTGTACTTTTCACTTCGCAATGGAGCCTCGAAAGCTTGAATCACAAAAATGGCTTTTCACCGTGCAGAGCACAAAAATAAAAAACAAACTGCTCTCATCATCAAATACTCTGCAGATGACACAGAAATAAAAGAGAAGTATTGTTCTTATTCTGTCTGGGTGGTAAATTTATGGTTATATGCAATTTAAGGACAACGTTCAGTGTGTATTAGATCTTGTGAAATACTTTTATTGTTAGCTAAGTGAAGGCCGCCACTATTCTCCATTTCACTCTAAAGCTCGCCAGGATTTTGTGCTTATGTTGTGGGTTTATTCCACTGTCTTGATCCAAGATTTAACCGCATACAAAGAAAGACTTTAACTCCCAAGACTTGCTGGTTAGACACACATATCTTGAAACAGACAGAAGTATTCTGTGCTTTTTTGGAGTTTTTTAATAGGCAATGTTGTGTTTCAAACGTTATAAACCAGATACCTATTTTCCCCTCTTATATCAGTATGAGGCATTGATTTTACTAGTTACTTCATGCAAAATGCTGCAAACAACCCCCAGTCAAATCTGTTGTTGATTTTATAATTGAAAGTAATCATCTTTTACAGAAAGGAAATTAAATATGGCATTGGTTTATTTCAGTGCACAATTACTGTTTATTTGCAGAATTTCACATAATGGGGGAAAAAAAAATAAAATATAAAATGTGCCATAACGTATAAAACGGCCATAACAGGCCACATTTTATGTTTTTCTTTTTTTTTTTTTCAATTTTAAAGCTACATTATGTAAGTTTTGGGGATTTGGGATTTGGAGACCTCCCTGGTGGAAATATGCAATTGCATGCAATGTGAGGAAGAGCATTTTGTAATCCAATAAGCACAAGTGTATTACGAGAGTATTCAAAGAGAACCTGGTGAAGGATGTGTCTTCTGAAAATGTAAGTAAATTATTTACTATTGTTATGATATCTTCATCAGTATAATGTCGATTGTGCACTTAAGACCTAAACATTGAGTTGGAGCTTCTTTTTCAGTCTAAGCATGCAACATTAATACTTAAAGATGTATGAAACGGTCCAAAAAACTGAGAAATTCCACAGCATCGCACTCACACACACACACACACACACACACACACACCATAAATGTATAGTGCTACTTTAAATTCAACAATAAATGTGCATTATAATGTGCAGAAGAGTGTTCTCTGTAGAGGACGTGTAACTTATTTTCACAAAATGTTCACAAAAAACATGTAATTATACCAAGGCACCAAAACTTTTGCAGGTTGGGCTGGAGAGGAGAGTATACAACAAACGTTCTCTATAGCGCCACCCTGAGGCTGCAGCATTAGATAAGAACAACAAAGACAGAGGTTTCAAAGGTAAAGCAGGCAAAATTAAACAGTGTAACAATAAAGTTTGAGAGTCCATTTTACTAGTGAGAATAATGTACCTTGCTGCAATAACAGGTTATTAAAGTTTTTTTTTAGGGAAACTTCAGAACTTTTTGTTAAGGGTTTAATGGCTCCAAAGTTTTAATTAGGAGATATTTGACCATTGATCAGCAAAATGCTCCTGCTTCTAGGACATCGACATTACACTGCAACTCAAACACAAAGAACAGAACCTGTGAGCACTGTTTTTTCCATAACAAGGATCTTTATGGGCCTCAGTGCAAAAAAAGAAAAATTGATGCCTCCATCCCATTCGAGAAGTATTTTCATTGAATAAAACAAGACAATTTGCTTGTTTACTCACTGTTGTTATGTAACTCCATCCATCGTCTAACATCAACCTAAATGTTTACAATACTAGTCTGCCCTGCAATGGACTGGCAACCTGTCCAGGGTGTATCCTGCCATCCCCACAATGACCACAGGGATAGGCTCCAGCACCCCTGCGACCCAGAAGGACAAGCGGTTTAGAAAGTGTGTGTGTGTTTACAATACTACAAGATCTTAAAATATATTATATTATTATAAATAACATTTGTTGCAGGAAGGATCTGTTGAAAAACAGTTATCATGAATGAGATGCATCATGAATAAGAGGGAGATAAAGAGATGTCGAGGCGGTCTGTGGCGTCTAGTGGTGATGGAAGCTAACTGGTGAATTCCACCATTTTTTCATGCATTTCTGCATAACTAAGAGGTTAAGATGTAAACAAAGTTATTCAGAGTGATTTGTTGTGAAATGCTCTGTTCTTACCGAGTCAGAACTGTTCACAGTGCTGCTGAGACCAGACGTCTGAAGCTTGACAACGTAACAATAGCAGAAACCTCCTTGCTGCCATTTTATATATAGAACCATATGCAAGACATTCTCCATCGATCTGAAAAACTATTTCACCCTGCAAAGAACCATTTAAGCATGCAAATGGTTCTCTAGAATTCATGGTACTAAATAGGAACCATCTTTTTTAAGAGTAGTTGAAGTCCAGCTACATGTAATAAAGTAATGAAGTACACTCATATGAAAGGTGGTGCTTCAATGGTTCTATAGTAAAGAAAATGGTTCTTTATAGAACCATGAACACTCAAAGAACACTTTGCATGATTAAAGGGCTCTTTGCATCATGAAAGTGTTCTTCAGAGTGATGGAAAACAGTTCTATACAGAGCGCCCAAAAGGGTTCTTCAATTATTACAGTGTCAAGTTTTTAACAATGGAAAAAAGAACCCTTTTGGGTGCTCTATATAGAACTGTTTTCAAAAAGGTTTTACATGGAACCGTCTATAGCACATTCATGCGCATTTTCCATCACCCTTTCATGATGCAAACAACCCTTTAATCATGCAAATGTTCTTAGAGTGTTCATGGTTCTATATAGAACCATTTTTTACCATAGAACCCTTAAGGAACCATCCTTTTTTTGACAGTGTAGTTAAAGTCCAACTACATGTAATGAAGTAATGAAGTACACTCATACAAATGGTGGTGCTTCAATGGTTCTATGGTGAAGAAAATGGTTCTTTATAGAACCATGAAAACTCAAAGAATCCTTTGAGTGATTAAAGGGTTCTTTGCATCGTGAAAAAGTTCTTCTGATGGAGAATGTGCTGTAGATGGTTCTAAATATCACCCAAACGGTTTATTTTATTGTTATGGTGTCAAGCTTGTAAGAATAGAAGAACCCTTTTGGGTGCTATATAGAACTCTCTATAGCACATTCATGCACATTTTCCATGAAGAACCCTTTCATAATGCAAAGAACCCTTTAATCATGCAAATGGTTATTTGAGTGTTCGTGGTTCTATACGGAACCATTTTCTTTACTGAAGAACCCTTGAAGCACCACCTTTTTAAGAGTGCAGAAGCGGTGGTGTGATTCAGTGTTTGTTGGCTGTGTGTAGATGAATAAGAGGTGAATGGAGATCCTGAGTCTTTATCATTATCAGACTTTGGTTTCTCTGTGAAACAAACACTTTTTCTGTTTTTCACGTATGTTCATTCAGAAGCCCCGCCTTGTTTTGTTCCCACCTCTTCAGTCTCCGCTGAGTAGCCTCTGAAGGTTACCGGGTGCGTAAGCGCGCGCTCTGACAGCTCCGGCGCGGGACGTGGCTACTTGCGCAGGTTGCGCAGAACTGCGCGTCGCACCGGACCGATGATGAGCGCCTCAGCGGTCAGCGCTGTGAAGCCACGGCTGCCGCGGGAAGAGCGCAGCTCCGTTCGGCTCCTCTGCGGATCCCTATGATGCGCTTTTTTGGAGGGAGTTGCTTTCCGCCCGCGTGCAGGCTCGCAGCCCGAGGATCAGTACAGAGAGGAGAGCGCTCCAGCTGTTCCTCATGGACACACGCGACGAGGGGACAGCACTGGATGTAAAAGACGAACAGCTGGATTCTTCTCCTCCTTTGATGAAACTTGATCCGTAAGGTGAGCGAGCTCGCCGTGTCTCTGTGTGTTTGTCCTAACGGCTGTTCGGTCAGCAGTTATTAGAGATGATGGGGATTTGAGTAGAACTTAGTGAGCTGAGTGACCCTCGGCAGCCTCACTGTGTGTTTCACGCGCAGATTAGTGGCTGTTTGTGAGGTTATTACTGTCTACCAGTCTCAAGGCAAAGTTACAAAGAAGCACCTGGACACTTTCCTCGTTTACGCAGGGTGTGTGTGTGTAAGCCTGTGGCTGTGAGTATGTGTGTGTGTGTGTGCTAGTCTTGCTATCTTTGCGAGGACTGCATGTCCTCAGTGGGATGACACATGACAGTTTTGCACAAGCGAGGAGAAAATTATATATATATACATACATTTTTTTTGGAAAAACTAAAAGAGTTCAAAGATTACTCTTAACTTAAGGTTAAGTTTAGGCTTAGGATTAGGTGTAGGTGTCTAGCGACTTAAATCAAATCAAAGAAGGTCCTCACAAGTAAGACAAACAAGTAAGAGTGTGTGTGTGTGTGTGTATTGAGAGGGAGAGAGAGCAGGCGAAGGGCAGCTTGTGTCCTGTATCCAGTTTCATTTGTAGTTTCTCCCGAGCGTTGGCTATTTTCAGCATGAACTGGCTATTATAATACAATAACCAAACCAATCTGAAGTTGCATACTTCTTCTTTTTCTAGAGGAAACATTGCTCTTGAGTCCCAGGTCAAAAAAGGGGTTTGTTTTTAAGAATCCCTCTAAATAGGCCAGTTCACTGGGACAAGCATCATTTTTGTAGTGCATGCTCTTATCAGGAGTCACACATAGTGCTCTATTTACGAATCATAAGACACACGATTCACATTAAAAGGTACTAGACTAATATTGAATTGCGTATTGAATGCGTAACATGCAAAATGTCATTGAAATTACATGACTATGGTGTATCATCCGATCTGTCTGGCGTCAGTGTCCACTACCTTGACCAAAGCCGACCCTGAAAAGGATGCACTAGTAAAACAGGATGAAAACCAATAAGGGATTTCATGGCCCACATGTGAACTGGTGTAGGTTACAGCTGAGATTGTGGGTACACAAAACATGAGTATGTATGTATGGATGCATGCAGTGCTTTCAACAATATACATCAACATACACATGAAATGAATCTCGGTATGTGAATTCTGTGCAGTTTTATAGGTTTTAAATAATTAGTGGGACACTAGGAAGCTGTGAAAAAGGAGACATTAGCTGTGTCCAGAATGATGAACTGTGCTTTAGACGACTCTGAAGTCACTGAGAAAACATTGAGAATGAAGTTATAATAAAGTCAAAGTATAATAAAGTCAACACACAGAATGCCCCATACATGAATATATATCTATTCACAAATTATTGTAGCTAGAAATTACAATAGAGAATTTAAGGTATATAATAACTCCAAATCCTTGGAATATTGAATAAAGCATCTAAAAATACCTTTTAGGGTCTATAGAAGATTTAAAACTGCACTGTCTTTGTATATAAAGCAGCGGCGTAATTAAAGGGGTGTGTGGGGGTTAGATGCTAGTGGGTGGAGTCCCTTTAGAGCATCAACTTGTTGAAGTCTTTTTTTTATTGGGGGGGGGGGCTTTTTTTGCACTGAAGCCCAAAAGATGAGAGTGTTATAAAAGGTGATGCCTAAACCTTTGAACAGTAGTGCATGTATAAGTACTTATAAAGCTGCATTTGATTTCAAAAATAGTCTCAGCAATGCCTACCCTGTAATGTCATCCAGTGTAAACACGTATTTACAAATGTGTATGTGAGCTACATCCTTTAGCGAAGGCCACTATCACAAAAGATAATAGCTTTGGTCACAACTAGCTCCTGGAATTCACGTTATTTATTATATAACATATCTATCAGTATATATATTATGGAACAGCTGCAAATGCTTAGTCAAGCAGAATATTCAGGTAGTAGTCTGGAAGGCTTATTGGTTTTTAATATACTCCTGGACAGATTTCCTTTTCTGTAGATTGATAGTGACATAAAACAATAATTAAAGCAGATAAAAACATATATAGCTTCCAGGTGCATATTGTTCATCAATTTAACATGAATATGAGAGTAACTGCTCCAATGAATAATGTATAATGAGCTAGACACAGTATTTAGCCTTGCTGTTATCATGGGTTTCATTGGAGTGGGTTCCCATAATTAATTCATAAGAGTTTACATCAATTAAGCAACACTGCAACCTTCCCTCTTTATCCCTAAACCGATTGAGTGACAAGCTCATTCGGTCAGTGGATGCTTTTCTGAACAACCTCTGCTGATGTTCAGTTAACGCGTGAGGCTTGTATCTCATCCCAGCCATCTCATTTCACTTCCTCTGTCGCAATAAGAAGCTGCTGCAAGTACACATTACAAAATGCTCTGTGTAGCGCGGTGTCAAGGTCACCTGCTGCACGGAGTAAAATAACATTAAATGACACTGACCTGTTTTATCACTGCCATCCCTTTCTCTGTTTCTGTGAACAGCATCTACATTTACCTTTGGTTAACAGGAACTGATGTAGTTCCATTAAAGGCTGATGTCTGATACGTGTAACAGCTCCATGCTCTGCGCTAAGGGTGAACAATTTGGCAAACAAGATAACATCACGATACTTTAAAGGGGAATTCTACTAACTCTTCAAAATTTGTGCATAATTAAATAGTTGAGATGTAAACAAAGTCATTCAGACTGGTTTGGTGTGTTTGCTCTGTTCTAGAGAAACTTGCCGAGCCAGAATTGTTCACAGTGGTGGTGAACCAGGCATCTAGAGGGTTTAGTACCTCTGAAAACTTCCTCACAGAAAGTTATAACATGAAATGGTTACAAATACACTTCCTGAGGTTCGAGACATTGTTTTATGGTACTTTTGGATACAATTTTGGCCTAAAAGTGTATTTTTAAATATATGTACTTGGTGGAGGGGTACATGTTGGACACTGTGAGGCAAAATAGTCCCCCAAAAACTTTTTTTGTCAGATTTACCACTATTTTATAATTATCAGCATTACATATACAAAAACTCAGAATACAGCTAGCATTCTGAACTGGCTTTTTATTGGCTAGGCTACCTAAGCATTAGCTTCTCTTAGCTTACGCTAGCTTACATTAGCAAAAACACGCAGCAAAACATAAAAACAGACATAATGGCTGCGTTCAAAACTGAAGCAGAGTCGTTTTAAAGGAGAAGACAGGTGACTGGTTAGAAAATAAACGGGAAAACTCATAACGCTCAACATGGCGTCTGCTTGTGGAGAAGGTCCCTTAAATAAAATGAGCCAATCAGCTTGCTGGTTATACTGCACCTGGAAAAAGCCTTCATCTACTTGGGTTCTGTTGAGGAGATCTGCGCAAGTGCAATAGTCAGAACAAGCCACAAAACACTTACTGAGTGTTGTTGAGCAAATGCTAAAACTAATTATGAGATTTTTGTTAGATTTTATCATTAATTTCAAGCTTATGTTTCAAAGTTGGCCTTCAGTTTCGAGTTTTTAGGTCTCTCCTGGTCTTGTATGACTGGAAATAACTGCCTGGTGGGATTTCTAAGATGGCTGCCTGGGGGATAGACTTTCCTATAAGGACTTTGACTGAAGGCAGTGTTATCCATGCATAGCTGTCAGGGCCTTAGAAGATTGCTACCCAACAACATTTGAGAAGCGCTTCAAAGGCAGCAATACGTCACATTGTTGCCAAGACACCAAAAGCTTACTGCTAGCTGTTAGCATTAGATGTTAGCTTACTTTACAAGTGTTTTAAAAAGGCTAGCATGCTCACCAAAATAAAAAGTATTGTATTTGTACACAAATCAGTCTCTCTCCTCCACTCTGTCAGCGCTGCTGTTTTCTGCTATTTTTTCCTAACTGCATTGGCGCTGACAAAAAGAACAAGGCAGTGAAGAATACATCTGTTCTTCCTTCAAAAAACTGAAAAATTGAGGAACCACAGCAGACAGTGTTTTATTTAAACAACTCCATTCAGACATGACTAGGTGCCTTTCTTCATTAGAGTACTGTATGATTAGGCAATGTTTATTACATTTCAGACACAGCCAATACAGAGCTGTCGCATTTGTTCTAAAAGGATGAAATAAAACAAAATACTGAAAGAAAAAGTAGCTGTTCAGTAAGTTTGGCATGATTTAGCATTTTTCTCCTAACCACCCTGGTACTGACACACAGGACTATGGGATATGTTAGGCATTGAAGGATACTTCTATACTGCCTTTTAAAAACGAGGAAAAAAGAGGAACCTAAGCAGGCAGCATTTTATATACACATTCAGTCCATAACAACTGGGTGCCTTCCTGCCTCAGAGCACTGTCTGAGTAGGCAGCATTATGTTTCAGACACAGCCATAGTCATTTTGGCCCTTATTCATCAAAGTTGTGTAGAAAGATGTGCAAATTTGACTGTCCTAAATGACATACGATCCAGTCCACGTCTGATTCAGGAAAGTTTTATGATGATGAGACAAGCGGTGTTTTGAGTGCAATTGATTGAGTGCCTTATTTATGTATAATTAGCAGTGGACACACCCAAATTTGCCCTCATATACATACGATTTGCATAAAGCACAACACTCTTATTCATGTAGATGTTTTGACAGAGAGCCAATAAAATAAAAGTATTCAGCAGGCTCATGAGCCAGTGGGTGTCCTTACAGGCAGAGCTTGAGGTCATGCAGGACGTTCACTGCCCCCCATGCTGCTAAAACATTATGCTCAAATTTACACAGATTTCTTCCAAACATGAGTTTGAGTATGTATATGGCAAAGATGAAATTCATGAATAACTAATGAATTATCAGTGAAATTTGCATGCAATCATTTTATAGCCAGATTTGACCATTTGCAAGTTTGATGACCATGGGCCGATGTTTACATTAGTAGTCATTTGTTGGGACGCACAATTATCTGAATTGTACTGGTATCGGCAGATATGCTTAAACATTATCGACATCAGACAGTTGATTACATTTGACCAATGTTTCCAAACTGTTTAATGATGTATTTGTTGCACTGCAGAAGAGTAGAATGTTTATGTGACACAGGGCTACTCCACTAAAATATTTCCACTTTACTCATTTTACTGCATTTGTAAACCTCTAGAAATAAAAGTTATGTTGCTCCATCATGCTAATCCAGGTAGATTTAGTCCTGATTTCAACATTTTGTAAATAAATCATTCCAAAAAGTATCATTACAGTGTCCTGATGGTGACATCCCGTATAAATTAAAATAAAGCATGGCCACGCCATATTAACACCTGGGAATGAGAGCCTAATGCATGGCTATGACTTAGTAAGGTGTCAGAATGAGATAATTAAGTCATGGCCACAACATAGTAAGGCATGGGATCAAGATCATGCCTTAATTAGCTGTGGTCAAGACTTAATTATCTCATTCCCATGCCATACTAAGTCGTGGCCATGCATTAGGATCTTGTCCCTACACCTTACTAAGTCATGGCCACGACTTAATTATTTCTTTCCCATGCCTTACTAAGTTGTGGCTACGCATTATTTTAATTTGTACGGGATGTCACCAGCAGGGCTCTGTACATTATAGGCTTTTTTTGTGATTTATGTTGGTGGAAGTGGGCTTTTCACATATAAGTAATACCAATGCTAAATCATGATTAATATCACCTTTATTAGACCTTATTATCACCTTTATTAGACATATAATGGTAAACATCTTTATGTGATTACCATTATATGTCAGCTGTTATTGTTTTTGTGAAACTTGTCATATCTGACAAATACATATGTAGCACTTTGAAGTGAAACTCTTATATGTTATGTATCAGTCTCAGCAGATATGTACATGAAAATAGCCATAATATCCTCACTTCAGAATCCCTACATCTGTGCATTTCTATGGCCTGCAAAACACATCTCAAAACCTAATTCTGGAATATGTTTGCTGCTCGCTGAACTTTTCTTTAATAATGATATTCTTTCCAAAAATGGTCCCAGAAGTATTGAAAGTGATAAGGATGGAAGGTCGCCTCTTCATGAATTGCTAAAAGGGCCCATCAAGATTGTGTCTGAGAAGCTGTCAGCGGGCTAAACTCAGAAAGAGGAGTCACAGAACAACAAACTGTCCAAGATCGTTATCTGGAAGTTTAAATGCATTCAAGACGTATAGATCGCATTGCCTAGAGACCAAAGTTATCACATTAGCATGAAAAGATCATCTCAGCAAGAGCATAGTCTTCCATTTGCATCTTTGAGGAAATCATTGTGGTTCATTTATTGCCCAGGGTGCTGCATGGGTGAAAAGCATCCACAAATTGATGCATCGATTTATTATGTGAACAGACGCACGCGGCCCATTCATATAATTGTGTCTGCAGACCGTAAAGCATGTCTTTCATGCAAGACAGAAAGTGAAGATGAGTTCAATGCTTTCGCCTGCAGGCAGAGCCTTTGGATCTATTCAGTCTGGTTGAAAAGATTTGACTCTAATGCGGGGTTGCGTTTCTTACCTTCGGCTAAATGTCGGGAGTGAATTACATGAGTCAGTTGCCACATAGAGGTACTCTCTGTTGTATGATCACTGTTGGAGTTTTGCCTAAACAAGTGCCTTGTTTTGAGTTTTCAAGACGGATAATCTGAGGATTTCAATGCATAAAACTGAACAATGTGTCTGCAATTAGTAGCTAATTGTAAGTGACAGAAAAATACAGCATAATGTGGCATAACCTCTGCAAAAAGCTTGTGCAGCATTATTTAGTGTACGCAGCTTAAAATGGTAAAATGAAGTAATCACAGCTTTTTCCTTTGTGCTATTTTAACCGTGTATTAAGATTGAAATTGGTGTGGTGAGCATTGCGGCATATTCCATACTCAAGCAATTTTCCTCTTTACATTTCTTAATTATGAAGATAATACTTGCTGAGCTCACAAATATTGCAATTTTGCTTGACTGCACAGTATCCATAAGTGTGTAGTGAATATCAATTACAGCCTGCTATTTAGAAAAGCTGTCTTCGGACACAATGTGCACAGCGCTTGCTTTGTTGAGATGATTATGAAGCGGCCAGGCTCTCATTATTGCACTGTCCTGTTATTTAGCATATGGCGCATATGTGGGAGCCTTGTTTTTGCCTGCGTTTCTTGGACATGGTACAGGGAGTGCAGTGGGCGGGAGGGGAGAGTCCTGGCCCAGTTAGTCAAGGTACATGCACAGCTCAAACAGGCTTTGAAGGAACAATAAGAACAACATGTGAGAGCCAGTCTCCCATAAACAGAGAAATGAACCAAGACAGAGTGGGGTTCCCACAGGCCCAAAGGAATGGATCTGTGCCTCAGAGCAAAGACGGTAGATTCTTAAGCCAAATGGAGATTGAATGCCGAGGCAAACTGTTCCAGGTGAAAAGCTGTTCCAGGTGTCCTACAATCTAAAATAAAGAGGTACTAAAACAATTCTTTTAATATCAGTTTTGGTTCCCTGAAGAAACTTTCAATGGATCTATCTTTAAAGAGACATTTTTCTTAAGAGCTTTTTTAAAGGATTAAAGGATGCATATTTTACATGTTTTAATTTTTTATTTGATTTTTTCCCTGGGGTCCTCTTTTAATATGTGAGTTTTTGTACCAAAATCAGTCATAATTTATTTCTACATAACTATTTTCCAACTTCTCTTTATCCCTTACTATTAATCAGACTGCATTTGTTACTGTGCCTTTAAGATTGAGATATGTAAATGAGATGCTCTGATCGGCAGGACTGTATTGCATCTCTTTTACAAAGCAGTCCTGGCTGAAACACTCCTTATAACTTTAGCAATAATTATGAATATATGTCAATGTGTTTGAAACTGTTGAAACTGGTTTTATGTCATTTTTGCTTAATAATCTAACTATTTCATTTAAAAAAGAGAAAAGAATTCAGGTGTTTTTTAATAATATGGGCACTTTAAAGCTTAAAGAGCCTTCACATAATGTAAAGGATCTGTATGTATTAAAGTTTTTTTCCTAGAACTGTATGTACATTAAATTCAAGAATCATTTAAGAATCTTTATGTTTAAGGGTGCACCTGATGGAGTGTAAACATGCTTGAAAATAAAAGTTCCTAAATGGCTTTTGGTTGGACACATGGTATAGAACTTTTACATTATGTGGAGCTTCTATTAACTTTAAAAAGGTTCTTCTAACTCATATCTTAGTTATTGAAATTGAAGAAAATGGGCTTTGCTGTGACATTGTTCCAAAGATCCAATATTTTTTTGTACTGTATATAGAACATATAGCTTGGCCTGATATGAAAACATTCTTTTGTCTGTGCTTTTAGGGCCTGTTCCGGGCCTCTGTTCCTCTCAGCTGATGGAAGCCTTCAGAGAGAATGCCTACAATGAGAGCTTCTTGGAAAATGGCTTCCACATTTTCAATGTTACAGACGGAGGCAGGAGGCACCAGTACAATTACTACGCCATGCTCCTCACTCTGCTCATCTTCGTCATCGTCTTCGGCAATGTGCTCGTGTGCATGGCTGTGTCCAGAGAGAAAGCCCTGCAGACCACCACCAACTACCTGATCGTCAGCTTGGCCGTGGCTGACCTGCTGGTGGCCACGCTGGTTATGCCATGGGTGGTATATCTTGAGGTAAGTTTTTAAAAAATTATATAATATGGAGGTGAAAATACATCTGAAGGTGTTTATTACAGTACACACTATTGTTTTGAAACTAACATTTTCAAATAAAAAAAAAATAGTTTGGTGTGTTTTTTTATTGTCTACACTCACTGGCCACTTTATTAGGTACACATACCTTGAATCTACACTCACTGTTCATTTTATCAGCTCCACTTGCCATATAAGCGCACTTTCCTGTTCTACAATACTGTAGTCCTTTTGTTTCTCTGCATAATTTGATGAGTGGTCAGGGCGCCACAGGACCACCACAAAGCAGGTACTATTTGGGTGGTGGATCATTCTCGGCACTGTAATTACACTGACGTGGTGGTGGATCAGACATAGCAGTGTTCAACTGAAAATAGTCCACCAACCAAAAAAATCCAACCAACAGCGTCCTGTGGGCAGCACCCTGTGACCACTGATGAAGGACTAGAGGATGACCAACACAAACTGTGCAACAACAGCTAAGCTACTGTCTCTGACTTTATATCTACAAGGTGGGCCGACAAGGTAGGAGTGTCTAATAGAGTGGGCAGTGAGTGGACACAGTGTTTAAAAACTCCAGCAGCACTGCTCTGTCTCCACTCATACTGCCACCACCATATCAGAGTCACTGCAGTGCTGAGAATGATCCACCACCCTAATAATACCTGCTCTGTGGTGGTCCTGAGGGGGTCCTTGAAGAATAGGGTAAAAGTGGGCTAACAAAGTACGCAGTGAAACAGATGGACTGCAGTAATTGTAGAACTACAAAGTGCACCTATACAGAAAGTAGGGCTGCAAGAGCTATTGCACATTTTATGTTTCATGCTTTATTTTACCTAACATGTTAAAGTCAGGAAATATGCCAGAGGATGTGTTCACTTATATGCACACGTAAAATCAACTTAATTTGGCCAGTGTGTTCAAACTTTCGCATATATCTGTATTTTCTGCTGCTGTGTAAGTAGTTTTTTCATTACATATGTGTAAAGTATTTTTAAAGATAATTCTTAAACACACTAATATTTAATCTGCTCTTTAAAAATGTTGAGATTTCATGATGCATTTCATTAAAAAATAGCAACTGAATTGCTGTGAGGTCTGAGATTGGTATCCCTAATCAGCACCACTTTAAAATAAGACTATCTTTATAAAGCATTTATGAATGGTTTAAAGTGACTTCATTAATGGTTATTAATTAGGTCATAAAGACCTTAAAACCATTAATAAGCAGTTACAATTCATAAATAAAAAGGGCCACAGTGACCTGTTGTTTGCCTAATAATGAACACTCATTTATTTATACTGTTAAACCTCATATTTTGATGTTTACTGATCTTACTTTGTCTTTTTCATTAGTCAGCTTCGTCACATATTCATATTTATCAGATATAACAGCTCACCTTTTTATTAATGTGTTGTAACTGCTTATTAATGATTTTAAAGCATTTATGACCTAATTAATAACCATGAACAGACTAATTTTAAACCATTCATAGATGCTTTATAAGGGTAGTCTTATTCTAAAGTGGTACCCCCTAATCTATAACATTCATTTTACTGAAGTCTTGATGCGTATAATAGGCCAGACCCATTGACACATTGACAATGCCGAGATGCAGACAGTTTTTCACAGGTGGAAAATGAAGGCTTTTCAAGCACAGATTCTTTTTATGAGATTACATATTTCTTCATTTTGTGTGGTGCTGCTTTGTAAATGACAAAAAAATTATGAACAAAGCCTCAGTCAATAGTCTATTACGGGTAAGCAGAGCTGTGCTGTACAATTTGTCAGTCACGTATAACTACTTCACTTTTAATCACATGGCGGGCCAGATGAACTGTCATACTACTGGAATATAGAAAGCAGCCAGGAATTTAGAAAAACTGAATTATAGTGATTCGATGTTACTCTACCATATTCTATACTGATTCAAAGAAACATTTCTTCTGTACTTATTGTACACTAAACCTAATCAGCTTTCAGTGAGCAGTAGGCTAGTAGCTATTTGTGGTTGAGAGAGCCTCTGTGAGGTATCCATTCTTAGCCATTCTTCGGTTTACAATGTTTATTTTGGACCATGAGCTGCAGAAGAGAAGCCTCCCTTGTGTATGGCACTGAGCCTTTCTGATTTGTGATCAAATTACCCACCAAATCCATAAACCAGGTGCCTTCACATTACTGTCCAAACGCTGCTGTGACTGAAATCCCCAGACTGAGCGTGCAAATCAAAGTGCACTGTGGAGAATGCTTTAGAATGATAAGATGTTGCCTGATATTTAAGATATTATCTCCAGTTCTGCAACAGCTACTGTAAACTTTTTAATGATTCAGGCTGAGTGATTTTATTTTCAGTAAGTAGTTCAAGTCATAATACAAATTAGATTTTATGCTTCTTTTTGCTCGCCAGATTCACGAAAGACACAACAGAGAAAAGCTGAAAAATGACTCGAATTAGATTGTGCCCTTCTACGTTTATTAGTGCAGCAAGAAGAAATGTCTTTCTTTAGCGACTGTGGCATTCTAACCCACAAGTGACCTGTGATAACTGTATATTTATCACAGTGTGCAGTTCAGAAAAGGCCTCCTTTTGCAATATATGTACAGTTTTAATTTTCCTTGCCTAGCTGGCAGTGACAGGGCCACAAAGCTTTGCTTGAGATTGTGGCAGCAGAATGTTATGAAAAAGCAAAGTAAAAAGCAGCACCAAGCTACTGAGCACATTCAGCTTGATGGTCGTGAAATGATTTTAAATGCTTTTCAAGTACAACATGGACATGTCCTGACAACACATGACTTTTTAATCTAATTTTATGCAAATGTATTTCAGCAATCATACCAAGGGTCCTGAAAATAACTGAATTACCCTGGACTGTGGATGATTATTGAAATTGGTCAAAGCGGTCACAGTATGTCAGATTTGTTTTTGTAGAGTGCCTCTACAGTACCTTTCTATCATGCCACATGTAGGCCTGTCACAATTATTTGAGCTGATCTGCAGTTGTTAGCTTTCACAATTATTTCTTCATGCTGCAACACATAGAACATGAACATAAAAAATGAATTTAAAAAGATCTCTTTGCATTGTCAGTAGTTTCTGCTAGACAACAATAAGATTAGATGGAAGGACAAAGGAGCCTTCGCTGGGGTCTCCTACTGCTCAGATGTTTCTACTGAGCAAAAGAGCCCAGGAATCTTACATGCTAAAATCTTGAGTTTTAGTACAGATCTTACTAAAGTCACACATTGACCCTTATTCATCAAAGTGAATACAGTCAACCAATATGGAAAAAATATATTTCAAATGTAATTATCAAATACATTTTTGCAATGTATAAAATGTATTTGATGCATGTATGTGTATTTGTTATTATATTTTTTCAGTTTTATGTAGTTTTAGCAAAGGTTACAGCTATTACTAAATATACACACATTGAATGAATGATATTGCATTAACCATTGTATGTATGCAGTAAGACAGCACTTACATAAAATGTATTTTAAATAAACAAGATATCAAATCAGTGAACTGAATTTTCGCAGCATATCAAGTGTAACCCTTGCTTTTGTCATCTTAAAGGTTCATTTGCTAATTAAATTTAAGAATACAAATACATTTTGAATGAGAAAAGTTCATTAGACAAGTATTTTATGTATTTTTTCATACATCTGATAAATACATTTACATACATATATTTCCCCATAAATAAAAAAAATGTATTTTAAAATATATTTGGTTAAAATGGTGATATATTCTGAAATACATTTTAGTGTTTGGAATGTATATGGCATGGACTGCAATGTACACTGTATTTCAGTATCGGTACAATGAAAACATCTGGTAGGATGAGTACATTTGAACATTATATTTTAACAACCTGAGGAATCCCTGATTTGTGGTTAGATTATCAAATTTATTTTCAGTAACACCAGTCGTATCAGCAGTAGCAGTAAAAACAGAAACAAAACTAACAGTGATAATACTTATAACTGTGCACACAGCAAACCTTGTACCAAATTGGATGTACTTCCTTTCACATGCACACTGATATAAACAAATTCTACCACTGCATGTTCCAATTAAAGACTTTTGCTTCATACTTCTGCTGTAGTAAAATAGAGTAAAGTGCATTAGAAGCCAACACATACTGCAATGTTAAAGCTTAAGCAGCCAGCCGTTTTATAAAAAACTGATCACACTACACAATCACGTCACTCTACCATCTGAAAAAAAGGTTACGTCGATATCATGTTTTCTTCTTTTTCAGTCTTAGTAGTTGTAACACTTTAAAGCTATTTAACCTCTGGCCAGTAGAGGGGGCAGTGCACATCCTGATCCTCAAACTCCACCTATGACAACAACCAGTGACTCATGAGCTGCTGAATACCTTTGGTTTAATTAGCTCACTATCTTACTCACTAAGATATCTGCATGAATCAGTGTGTGTTCTGAGTAAATTATATGTATACTGGGGTAAACTGAGCATATCTGTTGTAATGATATGTAAACAAAGTACTTGTGCACTTGTTTTCATGCACTGAGGCTGATTCATCAACTGCACCTGAATCGCTTGTTTTGTTGTCGTATGACAGTTTCCAGAATCAGACGCTGAGTAGTTTGCATGTCATTCAGGATGGTCAAATCTATGCTTGTGTCTATGCAACTTTGATGATATATTACATGATGATATAACATTCATCGCCATCTGCAACTACCATCTCTCTGTCATCTCTATCGTATCTCATGTATCTGCTTTTTGTCTAATGCTAATTTCTCCCTAAGAACTTAGGACAACTTATGAGAATCACTATACACAATCATTAAGTCTTCTAAGCCGTCAAAGAGCAATATTAATTTTCCTCTGGCAAAGTGTATTTACTAAAGACACACCTTATGAAAATGTTCTTTTTCTGACATCTGACATCACACCCATAGAGGGCTGTGGTGAGTAATGGTTGTTTGCTTGAGCTTGAGCTGTATCTGTCTTCAGTTGTGAGCTAGTAAATCAGCAGCTAGTTAGCAAGATCCACTTTGCACTTGTACTTTAACTGTTGCACACTACAAACAAAAAAAGATGACTGAAGTGTTAATCACAATTATTTCTATGGCAGTTCAATTATTTCTATCATCAGCTCTTGAGTGGCACAACCATCTATACATTGGCCAGATCATCAGGAGATCACAACTTTGATCCCCGGTTATGCGTTACCCATCCATGGCCAGAAATCCAAGACAGTACAATTGGCCTTGCTCTCTCTGGGTAGGTAGGATGGCCCTCCCATCATTTGAGCGATGCTAGCTGATGAAAGGGAACTGGTGGTTGGTGTTTTCCTCAGCTGTCCAATGACGTTGCTTTAGCAGCAGTTTGAAAAGATGTGGTGGCTGGCTTCACTTGACAAGGAAGAAGCTTGTGTTAGCCTTCACCCTCATAGTGGTGGTGGTATTGTGTAATTGGGGGAGTTCTAACTAGTGAGTGGAATTTGACATGACCAAATTGGGGAGAAAATTTGAAAAAAAATCCCCCCCAAGAAATGTTATCATCAGCTGAAATGTCATGATTGTGACAGACCCAACCATATCTCGGCACTACCACCAAAGACCTGCCTCAGTCATTAGATAGGATCTTCTTCAGATCGTCTTCTAATTCATAGCCAAAAATACTTCTTTTAAATCAGAAGCAACATCTTACACGTACACCAGTAGTGGGCCTCATTACAGCAGAGTTAAAAAAACCTGTTGATGAACTGATCTCGACAAGCCACAGCCACTCTTATTAGAGGTGTCAGATAATTCTTTAATCAATGGTAGAGATGCAAACTCCAGAGGCGGGTATGCAGGCCCATCACGCAGGGATCTGAGCCCCTCAGCCTGCCTGAGGACACACATTAATCAGAAGCTGCCGCGGAGAGAGCGCTGTCAGGCCGCTCAGGAGACAGGAAGTGGGGATGAGATTGACCTGAGCTAGATTAGTTCTCTGCTAAGTTTATGGCACACAAGAGCAGCGAAGCCAAACAGTCTCAGACTTATTGGGTGCAAATTCAGTCTGCTGCGTTCGGCATCTCGACAGAAATCGTTGGCGTTCGATTCAGCAGTTTCAGTAGGGAAAAAGAAGATAATTGTCTGTGTTCCTTCATATAGTAATGAGAGTCAAAGTGACACAATGTAGAAAGTATGCACTGTGCATTTTAACACACAGTATAGTATTTAGCTCATCAAAATACTGTGACACATGAAGGGTAAACTATGGCCCTGGACATTATTTTTGTGGTTGAAAAGGCTTATATGGCTCATTTTGTTTCTCCACAGGTGGTGGGAGAATGGAGATTTAGCACAATCCACTGTGACATCTTTGTCACCCTTGATGTGATGATGTGCACAGCAAGCATCCTTAATCTTTGTGCCATTAGTATTGATAGGTAAGTATCTCTGTCATAATCACCCTAATTATCTTCAGAGGCTCAGCATTAATGCAGAGTAATGAGCAGTAGGACTAGTGATTTGGAGAGAGCTTCATAAATAAGCTTCAAGAGGAATGTGCCTTTTGCATTTCTTTTTAAGTGGACTAAACCAACATGTGAAATGTCACATGCAGAGCATATTACTCTTCTGGCTGGAGCACATTAGGGTTTAACCTCTATTGAGTTTTATTGGATGTCCTTCAAAGTTAAACAAGTTAAACAAACATAATTGAGTAAACAACATAAATGTTGTTTGCGAGGTAAACAACTTAGTCAATAAAATTTACTATATATCTACTTAATAACTCTACTGATAATAGAGAGCTGTGAAATGACTAACCTAAAGAGCTTCAAGAAGCTGCAAATGTACCTTTGGTGTTGGGTTTAATGTTGTTGACAGTGACAATAAAAGTGCTATATGAGACCTTTCATATTTAAATTTATTGTTCCAATCAAAGTACTCATTATGCAAAGATAAAATTCTGTACAAACCTATGAAACAGAGCATAAAGAGTGAAGATATATAGACCGTATGGAGAAGTATAAAGGGATATAAAAAATACAATAACAGAGGTAATAAAATCATAATGATCAGTAAAAACAAATTTATAGATACAGAGACAGACAGCAATTTTAGGGGGCCAAGCACTTGAATGAATTCTTGGCTTTGGTGTATTGGGAATACTGCAATTTTTTGCTATTTTGGGTGAATGAGCCAGATATAACAACACTGAAAAGAGTGAGAACATGTTGAATTTCATCCAGCCATTTTTGCAGTCTGCATAATCTAGACTTGTCCAGGCTGCTTAGGCAAATATGAATATTTAAATATACATTCCGGTCGACGCAGCAGTACAGTTTAAAGCTCAGCAGAGCTAAAAGCTTCTATCTTCTACCATGGGACTGAATCTTCTTGCACTTTCAAACAGCACTGATGAATTCAATACGCTGTATATTTTAGCACAAATTAATGGGCCTCAGCATAACCCTGGTGTTTAGTCCTCTTTTTAGCAATACATTTTTATTTGCATGAATATCTCTTCTTATTGATGTTAATATTTTCCTGCGCTAACAAAGAGAGTCAGGAGACCAGACGCAGCGATGTACTTCTTTATTCAGTAGCACCTTGTGATATCAGCTATGGCTGATACATCAACTAGTCGACATCAGTTTGACTGCTGCTTTGTCTTGCTTTTGTCTGTGAGTTCCTCCTCAGTCATCATGCCTCTGCAAATCCTGGTCTGCAAAGTTCTGTCCTCTGCAAACCCCAGTCTAAAGAGATCTTTAGAATACATTATCACATAGTTATCTGGCACACCTGTGTCTGTGACCTTTGGTGACACAGGGGATGAAAATAACAGGAGCTGTGCCCTATAAGGCCTAGCAGGCCTAGAAGTTGGTGGACTTTAAGAATGTGCTGCATGCAGCTGTCAGGGGTCTGTAAGCTTGAAACTGATGTGGCAAAATTTATACTATAGCTGAGACAGAGAATAAAGAATATACAACACTACAGATAAACAACAGAATAAAGGAAAAACATTAAATAATACAAACAAAAATTTTCACATCATCAATTTATCTGTCTCGTTCTGCTAAGCAGTGATTGCTAACAACTCGTTTTATGATCCTTGTTAATTGTGAACCGTAACAAATTTCTACTTTAACACATATAAAAACAAAAAAGGATACATTAGATAACTTCTGTAAGATAATATTTGACCTGCAGTCCCTTTAGTCAGATTCTGAAGAACAGTGACACAGCAGAACTACATCAAATCTGAACCTGTTGTTGCTCGTAAGCAAGCTTTTCAGAAAGCAGTCTGGGCTGAAACACTCCTTATAACTTCAGTGCGAATGGGCGGGGCTAAACTGCTGAAAAGAATAGTTCCAAGTTGACCGTTTTTGACTGTGTAGACTGCAGAGGTTTGAAATTTCAAATGTTAAATGTTAAATGAACTTTTATTTTTAATTACTTTATACTCCAGCTCTTATTTCAAAACAGTGTTCTGTTTTGAAATAAGAGCAAAAAAGTGTTCACTTTCATAACACTTTGTATACTACATTTCTTTCTACAAAAAGCAAGAAGAAAACATGCTATGACCCCTTTAATTTGACCTGCAGTCCCTTTAGTCAAATTCTGAAGAACAGTGACACAGCAGAACTACATCAAATCTGAACCTGTTGTTGCTTGTAAGCAAGCTTTTCAGTTGGCAGCTGTGACAGTGGAACAATTCATCTAAACAAACAGGAATTACCCAGAAAAACTGCAAACAAGATAGGCTGTGAAATGTTTTATAGTTTAGCTGGAACAAAATGACATTCAGGGCAATCAAACAAATATTGCAAAATGTGAGCTGAACCTGATATTGTGAAAGTTTTATGGCTCTATCCGTAACACAAAAGGGTTGCACTTTTTATGTGTAAGAAACTGAAACACACTTTCTACAATGTTTGGGTCTCCTTTACTTTACTTTTTTCCTTACTTTTGCAGAAATTTTGTATTAATCCAATAGAACATACAAAAGACTAAGTTATCATTCAGAATTATTGTAGCACATTCTAGTTTAAAAATGCTGAGTTGTAATTGATGTATTTGCATCCATGCTAAGTGTATTTTGATAACATGACAAAAGAACTACATCCAATCTATCTTAGTTCACAAGCTTACAAAAGAAAAGAATTTCAAATTGATAATGCTCTCTAAATTTTGGTATAAGCACAGTGTCTGGCCTCAATTTCTCACCAGGTTGAATAGGATCTTGGCTAATGCTCTGCAAAGCTTGCTGTGTAAATTGCTGTTTGTAGTTGCTTTGTAAACCTTACAACAGTACCTTCGAAAGGACACAAGTGTGGGCAGAGCATGTATATGTCAACTAGGAATACAGGAGGACATATATCACTTTAAAATGTACAGTTGTTGGAATTTTAGGTTGGCTCTTAGTCATGGAGGTTTGGAGGTTTAACATTGATAGCACCCCTCTCTCCTGATATAGTCCGCTCTATCTCCCTTCAGGTACACAGCAGTTGCCATGCCAATGCTGTATAATACGCGCTACAGCTCCAAGAGGAGAGTCACGGTCATGATCTCAGTGGTGTGGATTCTGTCTTTTGCCATATCATGCCCCCTGCTGTTTGGACTCAACAACACAGGTATTTTATACCACGAGAGCCTGAAGGTGGCTGTGTATCAGCTTGACCAATTAATGTTTCAGAGAATGTTGAAGACATGCAGTAGTTGTTGAAATAACATTTCTGATGATTCTCCATTTTGTCTTGAATTTGCAGAGAGCCGTGATGACGCCCTGTGTGTAATTGCGAATCCTGCTTTTGTAGTGTACTCTTCTATCGTGTCCTTCTACGTGCCCTTCATCATCACACTGCTTGTGTATGTGCAGATCTACGTAGTGCTGCGCAAACGGCGGAAACGCGTTAGCACAAAACGCACATATCCAAGCACCACCGTAGACACAGGCACAGCTTTGAAGGTATTGTCCTTTTAAATGCACACTGACACCTGCTGTGCCTTGAAGACTGATATATGTTAATGAACTCTGTTCTGATTGGCTATCTTGTGTTGTGCTGCATTCAGAAAGCAGTCTGGGCTGAAACACTCCTTATAACTTCAGTGCGAATGGGCGGGTGCTAAACTGCTGAAAAGAATAGTTCCAAATGGGACTGTTTTTGACTGTGTAGACTGCAGAGGTTTGAAATGTTAAATGTTAAATGTTAAATGAACTTTTATTGTTAATTACTTTATACTCCAGCTCTTATTTCAAAACAGTGTTCTGTTTTGAAATAAGAGCAAAAAAGTGTTCACTTTCATAACACTTTGTATACTACATTTCTTTCTACAAAAAGCAAGAAGAAAACATGCTATGACCCCTTTAATAAAACGTATTGGCTCTGTGTGTGAGGCACAAATAATGTAACTTGTAACTTACTAAGCATTAATAGCAGCTTAGTGGGGGCAATACATGGCCTATGACCGCAGCATGTCTAAAATGACTGTTTCTTTCATTGATCCTAGGGGCATAAAATGAATCAATATGTGCACTACGGGAAATGAAAGCTGACCCATATAGTTTTCTCTATTATCCTCACCCGTGTTTAATCTGTACATCATTCTGAACAGAACAGCTACCATACATCCTTCTACGCAACATATGTGGCCCTGCATAAAATTCAATTTACTATTTTACTAAGAAATTAATAGCCTGTCCATCCACTGTTGGCCTCAATTACGCAACCCATGCTGAATAAAGGAGCTAATGACAAAGTAAGTAAAGTAAACTTAATTTCTCTTATCTGCTATTTCCAGCCTTTCCCTGTCTCCACCAGTTGTCTAAATTCAACTCGAATCATGTTCTAACTTGATTTGTGTGGAGAAAGTATATATGTCAATTTCAAGATCATTGCATGTTGTGTTTAAACTCAGGGATACAAGTTAAAGCAATAATTCAGCCAAAAATGAAAGATTACAATTTTCACCCTTACTCAGATGTAGTCGATCAGTCAAGACATGCTGTGTTGTGTTTTGCATTGAAGCTACAGGGTTAATGCAGCTAACAGCTAATTGAAGCTTAAAGACACAGGGAACCTAAATCTTTGTTTCCTTTCTAATTAGGTTAATCTTGTTTTTGCAGGCGAACAGCAAACAAGTATACCATCTGAATAATGTAGCAAGAAACAATAAATGACTGATATATTTCATCATATTTCTCTCCTCTTGATGTAAACTGGACGGTCCTAATCTTGGATAATTTTCCTGAGGCTGACATCTCTCGCCCCGTCCCACACAAAACAGTTTCAGCCAGAGAAACAGAGAGACAGGTGGTCTAGCTTGTTTTTTGTAGCTGCCGGTCACCCTTTCTTTCATTTATCCACACACGAACATTGTTCGTTCGTCTGTTCTTACATTCACGTTGCTTCATCCATCCATCTGTTTGTTGTTTTGTCCATTGTCTGTCCACTTATTCGTTGTCTGTCTGTTCATTACATTTTTTTTTGGTCCAGTTACCGTCATATAAAAGCTGAATGATGCTTTTAGTTCTGCATGAGTGGCAGAGCAGGCTAGTAGTGTTGAACAGAGAGCTGTCAATCAAGCTGCTCATTAGCCACACCCACACAGTTCTCAGATAGGTCATGGTTTTAAGTTGTGTTTTATCATATTTGTATCTTATATTTTTCATTCAAGCAAGTTTAATATAACACTCAGGTTTAGTATTGTTTTAATATTTCACTCTGTGTTCCCTGGCACTTTAAACTTACCCATTAGCATCATGCTAACAGCATGCTGGGTTATGCTGGGATAGCTTTAGCTCGCTAAGTTCCTCTGACTCTGAAACTATTTTGTTTGGGTGGGGCAAGAGACGTCAGCCTTGTGATAAGTAAGGGGAACGCTGATGGAAACGTTGACCGAGATAAGTTGCTTAAAAACACACATAGTAATGTCAAGTAGATGTGCTTATGTGGCTCCTGACACTGTATGACTTACTGTTTTCTATAAAACTGGACAAATATAGCTCCTATTGTTGTTTTCAACTATTCAGTTTCCGTTTGTGCATTTTTATAGAGAACAGTGTGCCATACATTTCAGAAACAAGTCTATTTGAGCTCACTTAACAACTCGAGACAGTTTGAGGCAAGTACATAATTTAGACATGCAGTTATACGGCTTCGGTTACATTAGCCTTGTAGCTGCAGTGCAAAACTAAAAAAGCAAATTTGGGACCCCAGACATGTCTTGACCATTGTGTAAATCTCATTTTTTGTCAAACTGCTTGCTCAAACTGCTGTCCCCTTGCTCATGCACCGATTGCACATTTGGTTCTGCCTAAACTAACAGCTTTAGGCAAGCTGAAACCTTTAGCAAATTAGGCCTTGTTATATTAGGGTAACTTGAGGGAAGAAGCCCCCAGAGTAAGTGGTCCCCCTCTGATCAAATGACTGGGCCAAATGTAATCGACATTCACTGAATGACTAAGCACTGATTGATTCTGAAGTTTCATCTGGATGACTTCACTACTGGGACATATTCCACTGGAAACATTTAAGGCCATTTTGCTGGACACTCTCAGAAAAAGAAGGTACTAAACGGTCACTGGGATGGTACACCTCTTGTCACTGGGGTGGTACCATCAAGGGTTTGCGTTCAGTGCCTTTACATAAGGAACATAGCTGTACTATATTCCAGTGCAATGATATATTGTAAGCTGCATCGACTCCATACACCCGTGTCTTTACTCCAGGTTTTTTATTTCTCTATTTTAATACATTAAGCTGTGAAAAGGTATAAATATACAGTTGTTTCTCATGGACCTTAATACCACTATTGTACATTTGAGGGCACATTAACTTTAATGAACAAAAATGTACCTTTTTTCTGACAGTGCAGGGATTGAGCCTAGCCCTGCACTACATAGCATTCCAAATAGAGATTCTTCATTGAAAGGAAAACTAACCCTTAGTGTTCAATTAATCAAATTATGTGTATTTTGTATTAAGCTGTACAGTACATGTTTTTTTTTTAAATATACGATTATAGGAGCTTGTAGAGGGAGCATTTGGTTATTGCTTTGTTAAAATTGTTGTTGTCATGATTATTTCAACAACAACAACAACAACAACAACAACAACAACAATAATAATAATAATAATAATAATAATAATAATCTTGTGAAATTACTGCAAGATTTGCCAAGGGTGCCAAGTGGGGCAAGATGCCCTTTGCAAGTGCAAACCTGAGTGCTGTTCTAGGTTATTTGCCTTAACTGGGTGTAGATTTATGCATCGTCAGCGTGTACATGTTAACATAAGATATGCACAGATATGATGTAGCTTTACCGTAAATGGACATGATTTTTAAGGGGGGGGGGTTCTTTATTCTTCTCCTACGATTCAGTACATTTGGTGCAGGATAAAGGACTGACCTTCCCCCTATTATATGTGAATCAATGAAATCTTGCTTTGATTGCAGCTGCTAACTGCAGCATGTTTTAAATCAAAGCAAAGAGTCTGCAAAATAAGGTGCTGTGGGTTATTACTGCCTTCGGCAGAAAGGTGGCTGTAAAAGGAAATGTCAGGCGTTTGCCCTCTCCTTTGAACACATCACTCAGACTGGTGACCGTGCGCTCCTCTCTCGTCTGTTTCAGAAATGCACTCACCCTGATGATGTGAAGCTGTGCACTGTCATCGTCAAGTCCAATGGGAATTTCCCTGTTAATAACAAAAATGTGGTATGTCAGTTTTTTTCTCCCTTTCAAAAAAAATAACTCTCCCCAGGGAACCTTTCTTTCTGACAGGAAGCTGTCAAACCATCCCTTCCACTTGCTGTAGCTCTGGCTTTGACTTTTGAAACGAATTATGAGGGTTGTTATTACAACATCAGGAAATTTAGAAACTGTAATGTTTTTTTTTCCCTTTTGCCAAGATTGGCATTCATTTAAAATGGTTGTTTAAAAGCCAGTGTGGAGGAAACTGTTCTCTGCTGGAAGTACAGTGCAGTCTGTAAGCAATCAGTTGTTGTTTTGCCTCTGTACTCCATCACACTGAATCTGTAATGAAGCAATAACTATGAGGTTATAAGTGCAGAATGTCAGCTTTGATTCGATTTACACCTGTATTTGTATTTATATTTATACTGGATAAAGGATAGAGAAATTGAGGCTCTTTTTTTCCATAGTTCCTCCATTTCAGAGGAAGTAATTGAACAAATTGAAATGATCTTGAAGGACCTATATCCTACACTTTTCTTAAGACCACTTGTGATGTTTTTAAAAGTTATATGTCAGTAAGTCACTTTTTGTATGACCCTTTTCCAACATTTCTTCTTCCCTTAGAATTAAACAGGCTGTTTTTGTTACTGTGCCTTTAAAACTGATATATGTAACTCTGTTCTGATTGGCTGGGCTGTATTGTGCCTCATTTTTAAAGCAGTCCAGGCTGGAGCCATTCCCTTGACAAAGAAGCATACATCAGTAGTACATTTGAGAACACTAAAAATACAAACCACATTTCTGGAAAGGTTAGGATGAATTTGGGATAAGAATAAAAACAAGATTCTGTGATTTTAATTCTCTTGAACTTTATTTAACTGACAAAGTACAAAGAAAAAAATACGTTTTTAATGACCAGCTTAATTGTATTTTGGTTTTCTGAAGTACTTCTGAGCCCATGTGGCTATATTTACACATAGTGGCATGATGGCTTCTCATGCAGTGCCATCTGAGGGCTTGAAAGTCACACACATTCAGCTGTGGATTCCGGTCTTGCCCTACACGGACTGAGATTTCTGCAGACTCCCTGAATCTTTTCACAATATTATGTACGGTTAAGAGTGAAAGACCTTCTTTGCAATCTGGAAATGTTCCTATTGAACTGTTTGACAATTCTCTCCTAAAATGAAGTGGTGAGCCACAACTCAGCTTTGCCTGAAAAGTGCCTTTGGCGGCCACTCCTTTTAAACCCAATCATAAAACCCTCACCTGTTACCAATTCACCTGCTTATTGTGGAATGTTTCAAAACGATCTTGAATATTCTATAAACTTTGCACTCTTATTTTGCACCGTCTCAACCTTTTTTGAGTGCATTGCAGTTGTCAAATTCAAAATGTGTTTATATTTACAAAATACAATTAAGTTGGTCAGCCAAAACATTAAAAGCAATTTCTTTGTACTTTTGTCAGTTAAATAAAGGCTCAAGAGAATTAACAAATCACAGATTCTTGTTTTTATTGCCTTTTACAAAATGTCCCAACATTTCCAGAAATGGGGTTTGTACATTATTTTATAATACATGAAAAATAAACAGATTTTTCTGAATGATACTTTATTATGTTAAATAAATAAATGCATGTCTTAATACTAAATTATACTTAAACAAAAGTATGTTTAACTATCATCTTATGTGCATTATTTAGAGGTATACATTAAAGCAAAGACTTTTACAGCATACTTTACTGCATTTTAGTTGCATTTCAGTTGCAATATAATTCAAACTAACTAGCAATCTAATCTAAGTGTGAGTACATCCAATAATATACATTTAAAATAAGTTTTAATGTAATAGAGTTTGTGTCTTAACTGTTGCTTAAGTTTGCTTCATTGCGACGTACGTTGTTCTAATTTCGAACAGAAAAGCACTTGTAGGCATAGAAATTGTAAACCAACATTAATATAATGTAAGTATAAATAAGTTATGCTTAGTTATTTCTAATAATATAATGAAGTTCATATACTAAATTGTGTATTGTAAAAGTGTATGTAAATTCATGTTTTGTTTGTTGAATGTACTTAAGTGTATTAAGTGATACAGAAATATAATTTAAAATGCATTTAAGTGTGTTCTAGTTGCAGTATAACCCAGTAATATATATATAAACACTCAAAGCAAAACTAAATGCATTTGATATACATATTCAAATAATGTATTTAGTATACATAATACAGTGTGTTTCAAAACATTTTTGCAGGTTATGCTCTATATATGGACTGTATGGACTGGGGAGTAAACATTTTTAAACTTAACAGTATTTGTGTACTATATCAGACCCTTTATTTAAAAAAAAAAGAAAGAAATTTTGGTTTTCCATTATTTGGCCCTTTAAATGAAACTGTCATGTTTAGTATGTGATTGCAAATGCCTTCAATTCCTGCCTGAAGTCTGTAACTCAGACACAACACTAGATGCTCAGTATCTTCACTAGTGATGCTCCATCAGTCCTGCAGCCACTGTCAGTTTCTGCTGTTTTGGGGGCTTTTTTATCTTCAGTCTTATCATCAGTAAGTAAATTGCATATTTGGTGGGGTCCAGATGATGTGGCTGACTTGGACAGTCAAGATTACTCTGCTTTTTGGCCTTAAAAAACTCCTTAGCTTGCTTTCACAGCATGTTTTGTGTTATTGGTCTGCTGCAAAGTGAAGCTTCATCCATTGTATTGAGGTAGTTGGTTGGTTCTGAGCACTTAGGATGCTTCTGTATAGTTCAGAATTCATCCTGCGGCTGCTGTCAGCAGTCACAACATCTCTAAAGATAAATGAGGCTCCACTGGCTGCTATACATGTCCATGCTAACTTGTTTCGTAGATGAAGTGGTCTGCTTTCCATCCCATCTGTTCATACAACCTAGTCCCCGAACTCTACAGGCTTTTTATGTACCCTTACAGGAAACTGTAACCTGGCCTTTCTGTTCTTAAGGCTTATATATGATTTGTGCTGAAATCTTAATGACTTTTGGCAGTTTTTGACAGTGTTATACTCTACTGTATTCCTCCAAAGTCTGCCACTACTATGCCATTTTGGCACATCTAATGTTTTGCCTCCATATCTGATTGATTTATTCAGATTTTTCTGATTTTTGCTTGCTTTACTGGCACTGAAGCCTCATGTTGAGAGACAACAGCAACAGATACCAGATGCAAATGGCACATCTACAATCAGCTTTAGACTTCTTGTTAGCTCTGTTGTGCATGAATCAATGATGCAACAACACAGCTGGGAAAGAAACAACTGAGCAGCAAATTTGTCAGATTACTAATGGTCAACTGAACTGGGGAGACTATGCATAAAAAAGGGCTGTGAGTCTTGTATAGTTCACCCAACACAGATGTCCCCGAATTAAAGCAGACCTTCTGGGTTTTAACATCACTGTCATTGTTTTATTTCAGGAATCAACATTACTTACAGAGTGCTCTGCAATTAAGCTAAAGCAAAGCTACCATAGGGAGGCAGTTGGTGTACCAATATGCACTACTTCATGACGATAGCTCATAACAGCATTATCCTGATCTGTTAAAAAGAATCACCTGATTTGAGAGTCACTCTAGTTTTACTAAGCATGATACTACTCAGTTGTAAAATAAGCCTCATTTAAAACATTATAACTGTAAGGCTCCATTAACAATTAAGACATGTATGTAAAGCAGCTGATTTTATTATTTCTGTTTCAATGAATGAAAACAATATACCATTTCAAATTATTCACTGAATTACTGAAAGTCTTGGCTTGATGTGGTCTTGCCATGATCATGTCCTTCAACACATCATATAAGCATTTCACTATACAAATCCAGATGTCTCTGCTTCTTGCAGATCTTCATAAAGGAGGTGGTCAACAATGGAGAAGACGTCCAAATGGATGAAGTTACAAACCCAGAGCCTGCAAACCAGAGAACGCTTGAGCAGACTGGTGCCAGCCAGCATGGCCTGCTGCTGGGCTCCAACCACAGTGAGACAGACGTGCTGCCTGCAGTTCCTGAGGCCTCGCTCAAACCTACCAGGAACGGAAACACCAACGAGGCCCCCAAAGTGACGAAAGCGTTCGAGACGCAGGTCTCCCCCAGCGGCAAAATGCAGACATCTGTTAAGTCCTTCAACAAACGCAAAATCTCTCAGCAGAAAGAGAAGAAAGCTACTCAGATGTTGGCTATTGTCCTTGGTAAGCAGACTTTAGGCCAGATGTATGGATGAGAGAAAGTACAGCATAAAACGTGGCTCAATGCGACTGCAAGATGTGCTCCTATTGCATCTGAAGTGAACGTTCAGTTTAAGCCTGTAGCTAACAGGGTTACAATACAGTACAAGTATTTGGAATAAGTGTAATTAATTGTTAAGTGGCAGTATTCAGAATACAGTTACTTTTACATGCAGTTAATTACAGTAATGTTTTAAAATTATTAGGCCCACTAAAAACATACAGTCCTTAAAAGAATCCCCACAATACTTGTCACAATCACAATGTGTAGCAAACACACTAATTGGATTCTAAAGAGGAGCTAAACATATGCCTTTTTTCTACAAATAGTGCAATTCCTGCTAAACCCTGAATCAAATAATAAATTAATGTGATGATCAGTTATTAATCTCAGTGTTACTGAGTTCTGCTAAAGCCTGAGTAGACTAATAAATCAATGTGATCAGTTATTAATCTTAGCGTTACTGAGCTCTGCTAAAGCCTGAGTAAACTGATAAATCAATGCAATAATCAGTTATTAATATCAGTGTTACTGAGCTCTGCAAAAGCCTGAGTAGACTGATAAATCAATGTGATGATCAGTTATTAATCTCAGCCTTACTGAGCTCTGCTAATGCCTGAGTAGACTGATAAATCAATGTGATGATCAGTTATTAATCTCAGCCTTACTGAGCTCTGCTAAAGCCTGAGTAGACTGATAAATCAATTTGATGATCAGTGATTAATCTCAATGTTACTGAGCTCTGCTAAAGCCTATGGGTGCAGTAGGGGACTGAAAGTAAGTGATGAAAATGTTGGGAATTTCAGAAATTCATTTTCTTTTTCAGTTTTTATCAAGATGTATTCTAGATGTGTTCTGAATAGGTTCCTTTTTTATCTGTTGTAAGTAAATACATTTCTGAACACCTTTAGAACAGTGTATTCAGTTTTCAGCAATCACTACTTTTTCAAAATATTCTGCTCAACTGTGGTAGGTAATCACACAAACTTCACTTAGGACCACCTACTGTACTGTGCTTGTGAGACACAGGGTTTAAAAATCACAGTGAAACAGTGACGCCAAGCTTAAAATAAAAAAAGTAGAAAACAGAATTTCAGTGCTGTAGAGACAGTGATGTTAATAAAAGTTATTTCTCACCATAAAACTCTAAAGGGGCATATTTGTCTTCTGGGTCAGAAAATGCAATCTGGGAAACAAAGACAGGGAAAGTCAATGGCATAACAGAAACTAGGCGAAGTCCAGAGGAGTCAGAATTGAAATAGTGTTATTTTATCTGCAAATATTATTTCAGCACTCTATCCAGCCACCCACATCTGCTGCATCTGTTAAAGGACATTTATCAACAACATGCCTTATACTACCCACCCTAAATTTACAGCTTGCTTTGAGAGGCGTCACGCAAAACTGGCTGGCAAATTGAATGGGGCTCAGTTTCCTGAAAGCTTAACATGATGCTTACTCTACCATTTGACAATGATCTACATGCTAAGGTGCTTTTGGAAAACCCAGCCCTGAAGAGTTGATAGACAACATTTCCAATATCTCCATCTATTTTTGTGCGATCCTCTTTCAAATTCATTTGTATGAGGGATAGAAATGCATTTTTTGCAGTTTTCATGTACAGGAAGCATAAAGTGCATATTTAAGCTTGTGTGCCAGTTTTGTGTCTAACATGCATGTTTTTCAGGCAGATTGAGCCCTGTTTGCACCTGAAACCTTAGTACACCCAGTCCTTTATTTCCAAAATCATTATATAACCATATTTCTCACAAAAAATCCTGCAAATGGAACTGCAATAACCTATTCGCTTCTTAGTTTTCATGTCCCAAGTCACAAAAACAGATAATTATACAAACTGATAAGCTGAAGGTTGCACTACATTGTTCAGTATGGCTAGACAGGTTTTCTTGTCTCTGTTTTCTCTGACTCGTTTCTCTTTTTTCAAGGTGTTTTCATCATATGCTGGCTGCCGTTCTTCATTACGCACATAGTGAACACTTACTGCCACGTCCCAGTAGAACTCTACACAGCTTTCACCTGGCTGGGTTACGTCAACAGCGCTGTGAATCCTATCATATACACCACCTTCAACATCGAGTTCCGCAAGGCTTTCATTAAGATCCTGCATTGCTGAGAGTGGACATACCTGCGAAGCCTCTGGAAAACCCTTCTCTGAGGACTCTGAGGTGTAAAAATGGAGGCCCTAAAGCTCCGGAACATTTTTGAAGGAGAGTTATACGATGAATGTACATAAAGCGATGTATGTATTATAAAATTAAGCAATTTTTTCCAAGGGGCATATCTGGCAACAAATGAGATGCACAGCACATTACAACAGAGTAATGAACTCGTGGCATGTTTCACTTTTTTAAGCAGTATCTATAAGCTTTAATTCCACAAAAGTTAAGACAGTATGTGAAGTGCTAATAAAAATAAAATTGCAGTGATTAGAAAATTCTGTTTGACATGTATTAAATTGAAACTGTACATAAAAAAGATATTTGATGTTTAACCTTATAAAACTTTGTTTTTGTAAATATATGCTTATATATATGCTCAAATATGCAAATTTGATGCCTGAAACATGTTCCAAAAATTTGGGACAGGAATATGTTTACCACCATGTTACATTAGCTTTCCTTTGAACAACACTTACTAATCCTTTGAGAACTGAAGACATGATTTGAAAGTCTTTCTATATACAAGTTTTCAACTGATTTTGCAACCATGCTGCTGTAACACGTACATCACTCTGTACATCAGTTCATTTCGGATGAGCTCCTGCCCAGAAAAGTTGGCTACTTTTCTGGACGTTGTTAACAAATGGCTTATGCTGTGCATAGAACAGTCTTAACTTGCATTTGTAGATGCTGCCATAGTGGTGTTCAGTAACAGATTATCAAAGTATCCCTGAGCTCATGTAGTGATAACCATCACAGAAGCACGCTGGTTTTTAACGCAGTGCATTTAGAAATTAAAGGTCAGTTGTGGTTTTCAGCCTTGTCCAGAGATATTTCTGGATTCTCTGAATTTTTTGATGATATTATGCAACTTAGAAGGTGAAATACCTCAAATTCTCACAATTGCTCGTTGATAAAACAGTGCTCTTATACATTATTTAATGATGTTTTTTGGCAAGCTTCGACCCATCCTTGCTCGTAAAGGCCTGGGCCTTTTCTTGATGCTTGTTTTATAACGAAGCATGATTGCAGATGGCCAGGGCCCACTGGCAGCCTGGCAGCGGTTAAACTGTCACAGGATGGTGGGGTGGCAGGCCCAAGCGCAGAGCTCTTAGGCATTTAGTTTAGGTTATTTATTACTGTCTTTGTACCCACCTTGGCTAAAGCACTGTACCAGTTACCCGTCTACAAAGATGTAACGCTGAGCTGCAGTTTGTGCAAGCTTTTATGCAGCATTGCCCAGGTCAGCAACCGGTCAGGACTGATTAGCGCTAGGGCTTCTGGGAGTTAGAGTTTTTGGAGCTGTGTCTAGCAGCTCTCCTAGCACAACGCCCAGGCCCCCCACTGTTGGCTGGCGTTGTGGCTTGACCCCTTACATAAACTGCTTCTGTCCCAACTTTTTTGGAACATCTTGCGAGCACAAACTCCAGAATGAGTGTAAATTTACAAAATACAACAAAGTTGTAAGGTGAAACATTATACATACTGTCTTTCTACTGTTCGCATTTAAACAAAGGTGGAAGCAGATTTACAAATCACTGCTTTTTGTGATCGCAATTCACACCCTGTTACAAGTTTTTGGAATTGAACTTCATACAATGAAACTATTGGATGATTGGCAAGTTTAACAGTATTACTTTTGTTTTTTTTTTAATTAAGCAATCAGACAAAGAAAACTATATTTAGATTGTAATACTTCAAATTTCATAGTGGTGGTACGTACAGCGGTGTAATATACAGCAACAGTAAAAAAGTTATATCCATGCAAAGAATGAATGTTTCATATAAATGGCAGATTTTCATTTATGTCCCTGTTTGGCACAGTGTTAGTGATTATTCTCAATCAACAACTAATTACAGGTATATTACAAATAAACCTTTTCATAAAAGTTAATTAAGACATTATTCAAAAGCAATATGCACAAGAAGAAAGTGCATTCTTAAAGCAAAAATAATGCAACAAACTGCTGGTCGTCACATACGTGGTAGTGCTGACCATTCCATCTCAAATCCACTATGGAGACGGGCTCATTTGCTTCCTTGAGAAAGCAAAACAGCAGATTTAATGCTTGGAGGTCCTGATCATCCACTGGAAGGTCGAACCCCAGTGCAGCAGAAGTTGTGTACTAATGACACAGCCTGTAGTGTCCAAGAGAATGGATGCCAAACCCATCAATCCAGTTTGCAAAAACGTGTAAGCCAATATTTAACATCATGAGCTGTTTGTGCTTTTGTATGACATCTGTTGAATGTGATAAGCCTGCTTTGACAACGTAGCGCATGTTATGTTCTCATGAGCTGTATGTCGCACTATGACCGAAGCTGATAAAATAACTAAATGTAAATCATGGAATAAAAAAAATTATCTGGCGAAAAAGGAACCCATTCCAGTGTTCATTTGGCTCAGTGATGAGATGAAATCATGCTAAGCCAGCCATGCAGGTTTCTGCTTTGATGAAGACTTGATGAAAAAGGCACACAGAGCATGAGGGAGGCTTCAGAGGCAGTTTTCCCAGAGCCTGAGGGCAGTCTCTAACTAATGTAGCAAGAAGCAGCTTGATTTGCATGTGGGCGCTCTGGACAGCACAATGTCATTAGCCTCATGGCAACCATCTGCGGAGAGAGACAGCCAGGGACTCAAGGCACTGCGCCCCGCTTACGATGCCTTACCACACACCAACACACTGCTTCACTGCATGAAGGAGATACGGTTAACCAGCCTTACTGTAAACAATGGAGGCACTCTCCTCACTGACACGAAGGGGGAATGAAAGAAATATAGTGCTAGGCTTCCCTCAAGGTGCCAGAACTTCTCACAAATCCCACACTACAACTCCACAGTATCCCTCTTTTCATTTCTGAGGGCTTGAGTTGCTGCCAATACAATCACAGCCATAATGAGTGGCTACTTAAGAAATGAAAGGGAAATTAGTCATATTATGTTCCCCACGTTTTTCTTTTTTTCTTCTTTGCAGTAACTGTGAACTTTTTCCTGCGCAGGATAAGACCTGCCTGACTTTTCATCAAAAACAAAATGTTGTTTGAAGCCAAATAAACAAAGGAACTGTTCGAATAACTTGGTTTATCACTACCCCAAAACACAATATAGAGGAGCAGAGATAACTTGGGAAAGGGTGACAAAGCTGTCGTACCTGATTGTGGTTGCATTGTTGATTGAAAGGTACTTTCAAACAAAAGTGGTTTACTGTAGAGCAGCGTTCATAGGGTTACATGACATCTACATAAGCTGACATGTGCATGACAACTGATGTACATAATCATTTATAAACACTTATTTCAATAGGCGTCATTTGTGTAGGTTGCATTTACCAGCTTTCATGTCAAGTCGACATCCCAGGTGACATTCATTTTTTTATTAGGCTGGGTAATGACACTTTCTGGGGTGAAATGATAGACTTTGTAGTTCAGTGTGTGTCACAGTGACATAAGTCAGACTAGTTAAATAAAAGTAAGTATGTTCTGTGGCCTTCAGGCAAAGTGATTTTCACTGTACCATTTGCAAAAGTTAACCTGTGCCATCAGCATTATGTCACTGTGATATACACTAAACTATGAAGTGAGTTGTTATGACACTGTTATTTCACCCAAAAACGTCAAGACACAACCCAGTGTCTGAATAAATATAAGGGCCAGAACACACTGGAACTCTTTTCCCCTATATGGAAATCTGTTATATGGCAATATATGTACACATATCATAAAGAGTCAGGCATATATTTCAAAATACATGTACATATATGTGTGTATATATATGTGTGTAAGTATCAAATATTGGACATAAATGCATAATATATGGATCATTCCTACATGTCTGATAGGTGGGTGAACACAAAATTAATCCATATATTATTCAAATTTATCTAACATAATATATCAATATTCAAATATTTAAATGTGTCAGGGAAAATATTTTCGTTTATTTCATGCTTAAATTGCTGACAATCCTGACAATTTGGGTGACACTTTTTTATAGAAAATCCACATAAAGTTTTACCTGTTCTAAAGTGTGTAGATGAAGTGTGCTAAATGCACTTCAAGTTCCACCTGCCCATTCACCCAATGGAAAGTTTCAGTACTGCAGCAAGAACCCACCTAGAAACCAAGAAACTCCACAATCGGTAACAAAGTAGTGTTTTACTTTCAATTTATTTACTAATTTAAAAAGTCATGATTGCATTCTTTTAGATATTTAGTCTGTTTAATGTAATTGATATTTGATGATTTGTTTGTTTATTGCTGAAAATGTCAGTCAGTGGACTAATTTAGCATGTTAACATGAACGTACGTTAGCATAAAGACCGATACCCCACTAGCTAGTCTGCTAATGTCAGCCATTTATTGGCTAGGCATATAAAGAGAGTATCTAATGTACAAGTAACGAGACACTGAATGCTTTTGACAGTCTGGATCACATGAAAGAGGTAGTTTAGTATTCTGATTCTGATTCACTAGTGGCTGTTTTGATAAGCAATCGACAACTTGCTTTGTAGTCTCTGCCTTGTTGAAAAGCTTGTTTGGATTCCCGCATGCTATGTCGCTGTACAGTAGTTTCAACAAAAGTGCCATTAACTTTTAGGAGTTGTTTTTCTATGGTATTGTTAGTTTAATTTTGAGAGAATTTCTATACCCCTTAGCTTATGAGAAAACGTAGTGATGCTTTTAATTTACAAATTTAGAGCCACATTTTGTTCAATTTTCCAGACTGTTCTAAACACTTTTTCTTTCTCATCATAGAAATTGTACACCAATCAGCCATAATATTGAAACCATCTCGTTGTTTCTACACTCATTGTCCATGTTATCAGCTCCACTTACCATATAGCTGCACTTCGTAGTTCTACAGTTACAGAATGTAGTCCATCTGTTTCTCTGCATACTTTGTTAGCCCCCTTTTACCCTGTTCTTCAAAGGTCAGGAGCCCCACAGGACCAAAACAGAGCAGGTCTTATTTGGGTGGTAGATCATTCTCAGCATGCTTTTGTTCTTGGAGAGCCCTGCTTTAGGGTACAGTGAAGCTTCTAATAAAACAGTCAAGCTTTCAGCTCTTGTGTGTCCTGTTATTTTTAAAGCAGGAAATGCACTAGATTTAAGCATTTGTTGGTCAGTTATAAAATGGAAAGGTGTATTTCAAAGTGAGAATGCATCTGAAACAGACATTTTAGAATACACTTTTACTGGATTTTCCCCATAA